AGGGGCAGTCCCTAATAAAATGCCCAGGTTGGCCACATTTGTAACACAATCTTTGCTCTTTTCTGCAAACCCCAGCATGAACTTTACCACATGTAGCACATAGAGAAGCAGGCTTAATATTTCCAGGCTTAGAATTTCCCGCCTTTTTGAACTTACCATCAGACTGTCTAACCTGCAACCCTTTTCCTTTAGAATTCCCAGAAGTGTTTTTAGGACCAGAATTAGGAGCAGATTGGTCCTTATGCTTCCTTCTGTAATATTCTTGAATATTTTTACACTTTTTAACAAGTGCAGCAAAAGTATCAAATGAGTCACCTGCAAGTTTTTCAGAGATGTTATCATGTAATCCTCTATGAAATTTAAAAATCAAGTCATCCTCTGTAGGTGGAGCTCTCTGGAAATGAGAGTATTTGGCCAGCTTATTGAACTTATTCAAGTATTCATCAATAGACATCTGACCCTGCTTTAGTTCTTCAAATTCACCCTTCTTCCTTATCCGGGCTTCAGCCGGAAAGTATTTCAGCAAGAATTGCCTTTCAAAGAAAGGCCAGGTAATAGCATAACCCTGACATTCCAAGGGCAGACGGGTATTTCTCCACCAATCAGCTGCATCATTCTGCAACATATAAGAAGCATACAACAATTTCTGCTGATCATCACACTCCATGACAGTAAAAATGCGATCCAATTCTTCTAACCACTGAATTGCAGCAATAGGATCAATGCCTCCTTTATAATTTGGTGGTGCATGTTTTCGGAAGGCATTTAGCATTCTTTCTCTTTGCTCTCTATTAGTGGCTGGCTGTGCCACACCACCCCTGTGACTAGATTCTTCATTCACATCATTATTTCCTTCACCCTCCACAACAATGGGATTATGAGGAGGAGGAACAGGCTGTTGTGGTTGTGGCTCAGGCTGTGGCTGTTGCAAAGGCTGTGGCTGTGGACCTTGCCCACCCGCCCTCACCTCAACCAAGAGTAATCTCATCATTTCAATATTCGCCATTCTGCTTGCTGCCATCATTTCTTGATTGGCCAACCTATTAGCCTCTAACAGATCTTGATTTGCTTTCATCATCACTTCTAGCTCTCGCTGCCTAGCTGCAGCCATATTTTGTTGCATCTCAGTTAAGGCCATTATCATTGGATCTGGCTGTGAAGTATTTCCCCGCGGGTTAAGTCGGGGTCTTGCCAAATCTGCCAATATTGGATCGGTCGGGTCAATAGGAGGATCAGAAGTCCTTCTTGGGCGAACCATAATTCTGCATATTTCACACAAAGGAATGAGTTAGCTACGCTCACACTCGGTGATCAGACATGCATATCATAGTATTCCAAGAAAACTCAAGAACATAACAACCCGAACAGTTCATGCAATATTTCACAGGCTCTCCTAGAGAAACTGCTCTGATACCATAAATGTAACATCCCCGTCTCGAGCCGGTTCAATTAACATACATATGATACAAACAGAAACAGCGGAAGACTTAACTTACAAAAATATGAGCTAACTTTTTCTTTTTCTAACTTAATTCTTACTCGGTGTAAACGAAAATCGGGCAGAGTTTCCTCTATAAATCGGACAACTGGGGATTTTTCCAATCCCACTCAGAAGCATTTCCTGATAAACAGTTTATACAACATATCAATTCAGAAATACCAGATATCCAAATATAATCAAATACCCATACATGGGCGCATGCATAACATGGCTCCGTGCCACTAAATCTAACAGCATGCCATCAAAACATAAACCTATCTGAATACTACATCATCATATAACGTTCCTGAATACTCAAATGTACATGCATCAAACTGATAGACATGTACAAAACATATACAGGCCATATACAAAATAAAGGATCAACATCATGATCCATCAAATGCGAAAATACTAGAATACATCAAACACTCCAAAAAGGTAGTAGCCTACAGCCACTCAAAATCCGGTCTGTCAACTGCCTCAGCCACGTGTCGTGTCCCTGCCTAGTGAGGACTCACCGGAAATCTGGGCCCCTGAAAATGTGTCCCCAAAGAGGGGTGAGATTACAAATCTCAATAAGCTCCAGGTTTATAGAGAATTCTCCATACCCCTGGCTCACTCCTGCATGAAATTCAGATACAGAGTATACAAATACAACATATAACAGATATCATAACAGAACAGAGCATATATCCATATCATATCAGAGATGTGCGCCGTCATTCCCAAGGGAGGACCCCAAGCGGAAATCAACGCACGTGTTCCCGAGGGAGGACCCCAAAGCGGAACCAGACATATCAGAGGAGTACACCATCAGTCCCGAGGGAGGACCCCAAAGCGGACGTCCGGGTACTATACAATCAATGGCCAGAGATTGTTACAGAAATCAAATTACAGAAGTCACATCAGAGCAAAACATATCATGTTATCAAATAACTCTATATGAATGCATCTATACAAAGCATCTAAATCACAGTCATACAGTCCAACCATAGTTCACTAACCATGGTGGAGCACTCAAGCAGGAAAAGACTCCTTAAACATAGAGCTTACCTCTTGAAGCTTTACCAATACGCTTACTTGTGGAACAAGTTACTTTTATCGCTTCAAGAGATTTCCGATCCTTCTCAATCCCTAGGCACACCTAGAGAATAATTTACAATGCATCAATAAAATGATGCAATACCATAATTATTTCATAAGCATACATTTTATCGCTTATTTTCCTTTCTTTGCATTTTTGCCAATCCTATGCCAATACACAAGTCTAGACCTCTTTATAACCGTTGGTGTTCTTTAATTTAATCAACCATTCCCTTAGGAATTTTCAACATAAATCATGCTATTTTTCTTCAAAACTCATCACCTTTATACAATTTATTACAACACATTTTATTTAAAATAAAATGTACAAAATATGTCCCTAAATACCCTATAGGTCGAATCCTACAAGGGGAATTTCCAAAGATCCTTCTCTTTTACAATGCATTTTCGTTACTTCATTACAACTTGCAAACACCTAGGAATGCTTCCACTAAATTCCTATTTTGAGTTTAGACACCAAGTCCTTTTTACTTAGGCATTCTTACTAACTCATCCATTTTCACTCATTTCCAACACACTATACCTTCACAATTCTTAAGATAAAATTTTTGCACAACAACCTACTCTTCATCTATGATGGCCGAACATGTAGAGGAAATCATAGGATTTTTTTCTAATTTTTTTTACATACATACAAATGCTTATTTTCATTTTATACATCAAAATATCAATTATTCCTCATCAATACATATTTTAACACATCATGCTTTTCCACCCAAGGCATATACACAATTTTATAACTTAAATAATCAAAACAACATCATGGAAATAGAGGTTTGTTACCTCAAATCAACTACCCAAAGCCTAGAAGACCTACACCAAGAGAATCTCCATCAAAAACTTCATTTTGCCCTCTTGATGAATAGTACACGAATTTGGGGAAGGAAATATCTCCTCACACAACCAATGATAGCTCAAATAAATGGGTGGGATGGACTCATTGGGTGGTTTCCCATCGATTTCAAGTAGTGGGACTTGTGATTTGGTTAACTTTGGAGTGAGAATCAAAGAAATGAAGAACCAAACCCTACCCCCCCTTTTCACCAAGTGCAGCTCGGCTTCTTTGAGGAAGAGAGGAGAGAGAGCTGATTTTGAATAGTGCTCATTTGAGTCACTTAAGCTTTTAAGCACATGTGGCCCTTTTACCCGGTTGTTTTTCTATCGCGTATTTTTACTTAATTGACCCGGAACTTAACTTAAAGCTACAAATATATTTTTATTTTTCTAAAGTCATTTAAATTAATTTTTATTTCCTAAGTAACAATATTCATAATTCACAGTATGGTTTTTGCACCGTTTTTGACGAAATGCACTGTGCATCACTAATTGTACTTCCTTTACTTACGAAACTTAAAACTTATAAACTTATCATTTTCTTGGGCCTATATTGACTTGCTTGGCATATATTGGACTTTCTTATTCTTATTTCATCAATTATTTATTTCTGGACTCTACCGGTTGCTTAAACAGCAGTACAAAACACCCGGTAGAAACACTATTCACGAGATTTTCACGGAAAGTGCCAGACTATACAATTTTTCGTTCTGAACTCATATTTGTCATCAGAATTTTCAAATTATGTTCCTAAAATTATTTTGCTCATTTTAAGCTCTACCGGTTAATTCACAAAACTGTAAATTCTCCGGCAGAACGCACTGTTCATAACATAGTCATGATTACAGTCAAAATACTCGAAATCGCTCACTGAATCTAATTATGGCATTTAAATCCTTAAATTAAATCTCTAACTAAGATTTACCAGTTAGGGTCATTATACAATGGATCTGCTAGTTTTCACAATTGTAGAAAACTGGAATTTCAATACTCCAGTTACTTCTGAAAATTAGGTAAAAACAATATTTAAAATTCCAAGAAAGTATTAAATTGCTAAATGTGATCACAAAAATTTAAGATGAAAAATATTGGGATCTTTTAATATCGGAAGTCATTTAAATTACTCCACGTTGCATTTAAAAAATAAAAATAAAAAAACCATAATTATGATCACAAAAAATTGAGAACTCTTTAAATCAGGATTAATTTAAATATCGTACTTTATGAGAGGTATTTGATTATAAAGTAGACAGGCATAAGTAGCTTTAGATGAAACTGAGAACTGGACTATGATAAAAATCACTTCCCAATTAAACTCGACTAGCGAGTGTGGGGTGGGAGCAATCCTTATACATAATCTTATCTTTGCAAATAATGATAAAGTGACTGTTTTCGGGACACCGGTAATGACAAAAAAATAAAATAAAAATGGGAAGTACAATGCAACATACACTGCTTTGAGTCAACAATAAATATTCTTTTTTCTTTTCTTTTCCTGGTTATTTTATTTTTTGTTATTTTATTTTGTGTCAAAAGTAAATATTAATTTATTATAAATTGTTCTTCTTTTATGTTTTAGATGATTCCAAACTTTGAGAGGTTGACAATAAGCTACAGGGACGCTAACAAGATACTGCAAGCCAAAAATTTAGGTGCCCTCTTCACCAAATTGACATTTCTTGAGTTGACCAATTGTGAATATGAAGAGGCTTCTTTTCCCGATTGGTTTCTCCAAAATGTGTGTACTCTTGAGCACTTACTTGTTCAATGGAGTTCCTACAAGAAGATATTCCAAGATGAAAGACAAGTAAGTGAAAAAACTTACCCAAAGCTCAAAACGTTGACACTGAATCAATTACCTACACTTCAACATATCTGTGAAGAAGGATCCCAAATTGACCCCGTCCTTCGGGTTCTTGAAGAATTAGTAGTTCATAAATGTCCTAGTTTGACAAACTTGTTACCTTCCTCTGTTACCTTCTTTCACTTGACGTATTTGGAGATAACAAATTGCAATGGGTTGATAAATTTAATTACATCTCCTACGGCAAGAAGTTTAGTCAAATTGATAGCATTGAAGGTAAAAGAGTGTAATTCACTTGAAGAAATACTGATAGGAAAGGGAGAAGAGTATGAAATTGTATTTATTAGATTGGAAATATTGGTGTTGGAAAGTTTGCCAAGTCTCAACAAATTTTGCTCTAATAAGTGCTTTTTGAGGTTTCCATTGTTGGAGCGAGTGGTTGTGAGGCAATGTCCTCGCTTGAAGATTTTCTCCGTGGAAAACACAAGCACACCAAATCTTCGAAAAGTGAAAGTAGCAGAAAATGATGAAGAATGGCATTGGAATGGGAACTTAAATGATACAATAAAGAAAATGTTTGAAGATAAGGTATGCTTTGATTTACTAATTGATTTCCTGTGTAATAATAAATCAATGCATTAGTTTTATTTAAACTAACCAAATAGAATCATTTACACAGGTGGCATTTTGTAGTTTCATGCATTTGAAATTATCTGAATATCCTGAGATGAAAGAGTTATGGTATGGTCAACCTCAATGCAATGTATTCAGCAATTTGACGTCTCTTGTGGTTCATAAATGTGATTTTTTATTGGATGTACTCTTTCAACCAAATTTACTTAATGTGCTTTCGAACTTGGAAGAACTAGATGTAAGAGACTGTAGTTCATTAGAAGCTGTGTTTGATGTGAAAGTTGAATTTGCTACAGAAATTCTAATGAAGAATTCCACTCTGTTAAAAAAGTTAACACTATCTAATCTTCCTAAACTAAAGCATGTGTGGAAGGAAGATCCTCATGGAACTGTTAGCTTTCAGAATTTGTGTGAAGTATCTATTATAGAATGCAAGATCTTAACAAGTCTCTTTCCACTCTCAATAGCAAGAGATATCAAAAAACTTCAAGATCTTCAAGTAACTAGCTGTGGGGTTGAAAAAATTATCTCTAAGGAAGAAGGAGATGAGGAGATAATTAAACTTGAGTTCCCTCATTTGACATCCCTTCAACTAATGCATTTGCCTAAACTCAAGTCATTCTTTAATGGGATCCATTCTCTTCAATGTAAATCCTTGAAAACAATAAATGTGTTCAACTGTCCAAAGTTGGAACTATTTAAGACACAGCCTATGAGCTACCCAGAAAGAACTACAGATGACAAACTCCGTGTCTCAACTTATCAACCTCTTTTCACAATCGAAGAGGTATGGGTAGTGCAAAATTTTATCTTTGCTGTAGTGAATATTTTTTACATACTCCAGTCTCTTCATTTTTATTTTTTTCATTTTATGTTGATTTCATCAAAGAGAATTTTTTCAAAATATTTACCCAAGCAAAAAGCAGTTATCTTCCATTGTCTCCATCTGGTGAGAAATACAATTGTTTTTTCAGATGGGCTGATTAATCATTTGCATTTTGTTGATATTCTAATTAGTACTATGTATATATATTCTTTTGTTGAGAACAGAGAAGGAAAATATAGATATCTTCAGTTCTAATTTTGGTTATGCAACAGGTACTTCCTAATGCAGAGAGGTTGAGGCTGAATAATAAAGATTTTGACATCTTATTGCAAAGCCAATATTCAGGGAAGCTATTCAGCAAACTTAAATGGATTTGGGTGTCCGAATTCACTGATGAAGAAGCTCCTTTTCCGTATTGGTTTCTAAAAAATGTACCCAATTTGGAAGTGCTAGTGGTTGAATGGAGTTTCTTCACAGAGATATTCCAAGACGAACAACTTAATGGTTAGGAAAGACAAATCAAAATTAGCACAATGCCTAGAGACTTGACATTACATAAACTTCAACATATATGCAAGGAAGGATTCCAAATTGACCCCATTCTTCAATGTCTTGAAAGCATACATGTTTTCCAATGTTCCAGTCTGATAAATTTGGTGCCTTCCTCTGTTACTTTTAATTACTTGACTAATTTGGTGATAGAAAACTGCATTGGGCTCATAAATTTGATAGCATGCTCAACAGCAAAGAGTCTGGTCAAGCTCACAAGAATGAAGATTAAAGGGTGCGATTTATTAGAGGATGTGGTGAGTGGAAAAGAAGATGAGACAAACAATGAGATTGCTTTTTCCAATTTGCAAACTCTGGAACTTATTTGTTTACCTAGGCTCCGAAGGTTTTGCTCATGCAAGTGCTTCATTAGGTTTCCATTGTTGGAAGAAGTAGTAGTTAAAGAATGCCCTAGAATGGAAATTTTTTCTTTGGGAGACACGAGCACATCAAATCTTCAAGATATACAAAGAGAAGAAAATAATGAAGAATCAAGCTGGGAGGGTGACCTGAATGAAACAATAAAGAAAATGTTTGAAGATAAGGTATGCTTTGATTTAATAATTGATTTCCTATGTAACAATAAATCATTCTCTTTTGCTGTTTTTTTCTGCTTTGGAGTCTGGATGGTTGATTTTTAAGTTTCAACATAATAAAATTTGAAGAGAACCAACAGATTTTGGATTATATCAGTATATCTCAATCTTTTATAGAAAAAAGTTAAGCGAAAGTGTGACACAAATCCACATTCTAAATCATCATTACTCTTCTTTTCTACAGGGTAATAACCATTCATTTACTATGTTTAAATTAAGGGCTCACTGTGTGTACTTTAAAAGGATGTAAGTTATGTACTTTTAGTTTTTTACTCTATGTACTCCCGGTAATACATAGTTATAAAATGAAAAATTACATTTTTTCACTTTCCATGTTAACTGACGTGACTGAGAAGAGAGAAAAAAAAAGCAACTTTTCATGTTATAACTATGTACTACCGAGAGTACATAGAGTAAAAAAACTAAAAGGACATAGCTTACATCCTTTTAAAGCAAAGTTAGTTTTCCCTTAAATTAATAATCACTTGGCTATTGGCTAAAATTGCTTTTTTGTTTAAATGTTTACTTAATCAAAATTTCATTACAACTAGATCTCCTTTTCTACAATTATAAAATCTTTTAAGAGCTTGGAATTTCAACTTAACCCATGCATTCTTGTTGTTATTAGTGGCATATTATAAGTCTAGATTTTCCAATTAACTTCCTCGTTTGAATATATAAAACATTATTTCTCCTAATTTGGAATTCAAAAGGCTAGCATTATCAAATGTTGAAAGAGTTTAGTTACACATCTATAATTTCAATTGAGTAAAATTTGCAGCCTTACTTTTGTTTCATCTAACTAAATACAATCATTTACACAGGTGGCATTTTGTAGTTTTAAGCATTTGAAACTATCTGAATATCCTGAGCTGAAAGAGTTATGGTATGGCCATCTTCATAGCAATGTATTCAGCAAATTGACGCATCTAGTGGTTCATAAATGTGATTTTTTATCTGAAGTACTCTTCCAACTGAATTTACTAGAAGTTCTTATGAACTTGAAAGAACTAGACGTAAGAGAATGTGATTCATTAGAAGCAGTGTTTGATGTGAAAGGTAAATCTGGAACAGATGTTAGAGTGAAGAATTCTTCTCAGTTAAAAAAAGTAACCCTATCTAATCTTTCGAATCTGAAGCATGTGTGGAAGGAAGAAGACTCACACGGAACTCTGAGTTTTCAGAATCTATGTGAAGTATCTGTTATTAAATGTGAAATCTTAACAAGTCTTTTTCCACTCTCAATAGCTAGAGATATGATAAATCTTCAATATCTTGAAGTACAAGTATGTGGGGTTGAAGAAATTGTTGCCAAAGAAGGAGGAACAGAGGAGATAATTAACTTTGAGTTTCCTCATTTGAAATCCCATTACCTTACACATTTGCCTAATCTGAAGGCATTCTTTAATGGGATCCATTCTCTTCAATGTAAATCCTTGAAAAGAATAAATGTGTTCAATTGTCAAAAATTGGAGCTATTTAAGACACAACCTATGACTATGAGCTACGAAGAAAGAGATGGAGATGACAAACTGATACATGTCTCATCTATTCAACCTCTTTTCACAATTGAAGAGGTATGGGTAGCACTAAATCTTATCTTTGTTGTGGTGATTATCATGTGCCCCAATTTTACTGTTTTTTTCATTTTTAAATTGATTTTGGCAAAGAAATTTTTTCAAAATATCTACACTATTTATAGAAGAAAACAATCCTCTTCGAATGTCCGGTTCTCGTGAGTAAAACAATTATTTTTTTTAATATCTACACTAAATAGATACTCTTTTTTTTTATAACTGAGAAGGAAAATATAGAATTATTCACTTTTAGTTTTGTTTATGCCCTAGGTACTTTCTACTGTGGAGAATTTGACGATGAATAATAAAGATTTTGACGTCATATTGCAAAGCCAATATTCAGGGGAGCATTTCACCGAACTTAAAGGTATTACGGTGTGCCAATTCAGCGATGAGGAATCTACTTTTCCGTATTGGTTCATGAAAAATGTACCCAATTTGGAAGTGCTAATGGTCCAACGGAGTTCCTTCACAGAGATATTCCAAGACGAACCACTTATGGGTGAGGAAAGACAAATCAAAATTAGCACACGACCTAGACTGTTGGCATTGTATTGTCTAGATAATCTTCAACATATATGTAGAGAAGGATTCCAAATTGACCCCATTCTTCAGCGTCTTGAAAGCATACTTGTTATTCAATGTTCTAGTCTGACAAATCTGGTGCCAGCCTCTGTTACCTTTAACAACTTGACCTATTTGAAGGTAGAAAACTGCATTGGATTGGTAAATTTGATATCATGCTCAACAGCAAAGAGTCTGGTCAAGCTCACAACAATGAACATAAAAGAGTGCAATTTACTAGAGAATGTAGTTAATGGAAAGGAAGATGAGACAAACAATGAAATTGCTTTTCGAAGTTTGCAAACTCTGGAACTTATCAGTTTACCAAGGCTCCGCAGGTTTTGCTCATGTAATTGCTTCATTAAGTTTCCGTTGTTGGAAGAAGTTGTTGTAAAAGAATGTCCTCGAATGGAGATTTTTTCTTTGGGAGACACGAGCACACCAAATCTCCAAGAAGTACAAATAGAAGAAAATAATGAAAAATCTCGTTGGGAGGGTGGCCTGAATGAAACAATAAACAAAATGTTTGAAGATAATCTAAGGTAAGTGTTGATGAGCCAATTCATTTGGTTTTCACTTTCATTAATTTAAAGACTATCTCTATTAATACACTATCTCTAAAAATTCTTATGATTTGTCTCTCGGTATATTAATTTGATTGAACAGGTTGCATTCTACAGATTCCAACATATGATTCTGTCTGAATACCCACAGCTGTGGAATTTGTGGTATGACCAACTTCATCATAATGTTTTGCAATTTGAAATCTCTAGTGGTGCGCTGATATGATTTTTTATCTTGTGGTATTTTTTCTCAAATGTACTGCAAATTTCAAAGAAGAACTGCCATTTCAATATGGCTTTGCTCCCTTGCATATATAGCTAGTCAAGGCCACCTTGGTAATTCCACTCTCTCTTTCTTGCAGTTCTTCTATCCTATTCCTATGTGTTGCTTTGACCAAGGAACATCCTTAATCAGTTAGCAATTTCTTTCTTCTTCTTTTTCTTTTATTTATTTTCTTCGCTTGTTCTGATACTGAGATTCTGGTCCAAATGGTTAAAGTTGTTTTACGATATTGGAGTCAGTTTTGTAGTCATTTTGGAACATGTTATTGGTTTGAATCAAATGAAAGAACTTCAGCATATGAGAGTAGATTTGTTATTTATCAGGTTATAGAAGCAGTTATGTCACTCAAGTTGTCAATTAAAGAAAATCAATAATTATGCTTTTAAAGAAAACCTTGAGAGGAAAATAATGAAGCGAGGAGATGTGTATGATGTCATCATTTTATTCATCGTCCGTGGAGATATATTATTAAGAGAAGGCTGTCAAATTTAAATTTTTAGATTCACCAATCTCTGTTTTCACACTTAACTTAATCCCTGGCTTATTTAGGTTCTAATTGTTAAACCTTGATAGCTTTTGGCTAGTCAATTGGGATGAGTAGCTTCAATTTCTTGGTGTACGTAGGATGTTCTTATATCTTCATATAATCTAATACGAGGCAGATAGTAGTATTGTAGTGCCTAGTCATGCATACCCAGATTTGCTAGATGTACTGGCATAGCCTCAGTGAACTTCAAGTGGTTTGTAATATATAATTGATAGCTTCTTTAATTACCAATATTTGCTCATAAATTCTGAAATTTCCTTCTCCAACCTTTGCTTTTGCTTTGAACAAGAACAACCATCTTATTTAGCTTCTGAGCGTGTTATTGTGTGATTGTACAATGACAGCTCTACCATGAGTGCATGCGTAGATACTCTGAAGGAGCTGATTTTGGTGCTAATGGCAGAAGGTCTGGGGTCTGGCTCTAAGAACACACAGAAAGCAGGGAAAGAAATATCTTAAAAGAATGCTTGAGTTGATAGAGATATTATAGTAATAGACAATCTCTATTCATTTGTTGATCCGCCAATTCACTTTCCTTTCATTAATTTAAGTCTGTCTCTATTCAGATTATGTGATTGGAGAAATCATAGTAAGACTCATATAAATGATTATGGCTTCAAATTCCTTTTGATTCGGCGCTTGATACATTAATTTGATTGAACAGGTTGCATTTTATACAGAGAAATTTTTGAACCTGTCTGAATACCCACAGGTATAAAATTTGTGGAATGACCAATTTCAACATGATATGTTTTGCAATTTGAAATCTTTAAGATGTGATTTTTGATCATATGGTCTTTTTTTTATGAAATGTACTGCAAATGCTCATGGATTGAAAGAGCTAGCAGTAGTAGACTGATTTGTTAGAAATAATGTTTTATGTTGAAGGTAGGAGCAAACTACTTAATTGAAACGATCAATTTTGTTTGGCTTACCAAAATTAAAGCACATATGGAACGAATACTCTCACAAAATTATCACCATTGGAAACTTATGCATAGTAGTTTTTTTTTTTTTTGGAAGGCCAAAGCTTCTTAAATATGTTTTCAATTGTCACTATAGAATCTCAAGAGAGAAAATCTTCTTGAGCTTCCTCCTTCAATGCTAAGTCCAAGCCCATTGAGGGATTTTTCAAAAACCCTAAACTTTAAACCCTAGATCTCACCTCCTCTATATATATTCATTAGTTGTGGGTGGAGGTTAGGTTAGAGAACAAGATTGAGAGAAAAAATTATTTGAGAGATTTGTGAGTAAAGCTTTGAGCTTTGTATTTGAGAGATCTCTAGAGAGAGTTTGAGTGAAACACCTCTAGGATAGTTTGATTATCACCATTGATAGAGAGGTTGAGTTAACCATCACTTTGGTGAATTTTGATTCTTTGTATCTATTATTTTCATAGTGGACGTTTGATCTGGACTAGGTCCCATGGGTTTTTACTTCTTCATTGGAGAAGGTTTTCCCACGTTAAAACTGCTTGTGTTCTCTTTCTCTCTCTCTCTCTCCTGTTTACGTTTTGATTTTTTGCTGCGCTGCCCGACCTGGTGAAATTCAGGACGAGGTAATTGCCGAGATCTGAGATCCAGGATCTCATTGACTGACTGCGCAAAGGCTGCTTAGCCGACTTGAGGAAACCGAGTTCCCAATAGTGGTATCAGAGCCCGAGTTCAACGGGTTCTGAGGGAGACGAGATGGAGACCAGTGGTATAATCCATGATGGAGATAAGTTTAAGTTGTAACACCCCAAATTCTAACAATTTATAATAGCATAAATAAATTCAATAATTTTATAAATAACAGCGGAAGTTCAAAATAATCAAATTTGGGAAGTGTTACCGCCGCACTTGTACAAGGACAAGTGCAAGGCTAACTCTATACATTTAAATCAAAATCTAAGACTACAGTTTTTTTTTTTTTTTATACATAATATTTATGACAGCTATAAATCCTGAGTCGTATCCTCACTGCCCACAGCTAGCCTGATTCCTTGCCACCTGATTTACTGAAAATCTGCTCCCCTCTAGCCGCAGGATCATTGCAGTCAAACAATCACAAACAGTCAGCAAAGCTGGTAATCTTAATCAAAATAAATAAATTCAAATACAATTATAAAATATAATAAGATAAAATAGAATAAAATCAAATGGCAATTTAATTCAAATAATAAACTAATATTTCAACAAATAAAAATATTTAAATTAAACTATTTTGACTTATCAGTTATCCTTATTAAATTATTTAAGTGGGAAGAGAACCATGGTAGACCTAGGGAACCCTGCCAGTCTACCCTGTGACCCGGGAAACCCTGTCAGTCACAAACAAATCACATTGGCCATAATCAATTCACATCTTCCTAGTGTGCACACCTCTTTCCAAAGTTGCTACTAATATCCCGGGAAACCCTGCCAGACACCACTTTGGGAAGAACAGATACAATCTTTTTCACATCAATTTCACATCGGAGGCATAAAGCCCAAAAGTTGTGTTCATCACCTTGGGAGGCACCGTCCCAAAGCTATCTTCCCACTATTAAATTATTACAATCACATACAATTAGAAAAAATTCAATCTTGTCTAAAATACCATAATTGGAATATTTATTTTTTAAGTATTATCATTGTTGCTCAAGAGCATCATAATTTTTCAAATCTCTATAATTTTCCAACATCTATAAAAATTAAGGTCCAAATCATATCAAATATACATCATCATAATTTTCCAACATCTATCATATCAATTATCCTTCATCATAGTTTTTCTAATTTAGTTAAGAATATCATAACTCAAAATCCAACATCTATCACAGAAAGTCCAAATCCACTCATCATATCAATTATCATAATTTTCCCAAGGTATCATAATTTTCACAATTATTCAATAGCATCTGTATCACACATAAGTGGCACATAATTAATCTTCCGAAAATACCATAATCATAATTTTCAAAAATTTGAATCATAATTCTCGGGGTTAAAACCCAATAAAATTTCTAATAAAATTCATATGTAATTACCCTACGATCAACTAAAGGTTAGGACTATATATAATAAATTTCATATACAACTAATATATTATTTCCTAAAGGTTAACAAAATATCTTATAAAATTAATTTATTAAACCTAAAGGATTAGGCCACACATACCAAATTTCACATAAAATATAATCTAAAAAAATACTTAAGGATTAGGATTACATATAATAAATTTCAAACAAAATTATAACCTAAGAGCACCTAAAGATTAGGATTACATATACCAAAATTCATATCAGTATAACCTATGACTCTTTAGGGATTAGGATTACCTGGTCTCCGTTTTCGGTAACTTCTAAAAGGAATAATTTGGGGCAGAGAACCGGTTGATAATCAGAAAAATATAAAAATTGAATATAATTAAAATAAAATTTTTAGAGTGAGAAGAGATAGAGTAGTAGAGGATAAATGTTGAAGAGTGAATTAGTTTGGTTAGGCCAGGCCTCTATTTGTAGTTGAAGTTTTGGGCTCGAATATGGGTTTCGTGTATTTATTTCCTTTTTTTATTGATGTATCTGACTCAGATATTGGCTTCATACATTTTTATTTTTTTATTATGGCTCAGAATATCGCTAACTCATTACTGATTCATTATTGATTCAATGCTGACTCATGATTGACTCATCATATGAAATCAAATTATTAATCAAACATTATCAATCAAACATTAATACATAAATCATCAATCAATTAATAATTTAATTAATCATAATTTATCATCTAATATATATATATATTATTTTATTATTAATAATCTGAAGTATTACAGAGTAACAAAATCAATTTCCAATAACACATATATCACACAAAAATCATTTTATAAAAGGAAACAATTATAATTTGTTATCTATCACCATCAAATATATAATATATATATATATATATATATATATATATATATATATATATATATATATTATTACTACTAATTTATAGTTTATTATTATTATTAATATATTATTATTATCACATAAATCAAATAATATTACTATTATTATTATCTTATATCTTATTATTTTAACTATTGTTAACTCATTAATTAAAAATATTAAATACCAATATTATTAATTACAAAAATACTAAATATCATTATTAAATAAATAAATAAACTTATTATATTATTATTATTATTATTACTATTTTATTAATAAAAATATGGGGTATTACAAAGCTGACCGCAGACAATTTCACCTATTGGAGACCGATGATGGAAGATTATCTCTACTGCAAAGATTTACATGAGCCCATTATCCTTGATGTGAGACCGGCAGGCAAGACCGATAAGGAGTGGGAGATTCATAGTCGAAAGGCGGTAGCTACAATTAGAAAATATATAGACAAAAGCCTCTTTGAGCACGTGTCCGAGTTCACGAACGCGTACGAGTTGTGGACAAAGCTAGAGTCCATGATTCAAAAGAAGACTCCCAGGAACAAAGCACACCTGGTTCGTCGACTTGTGAAGCTAGAAACAAGGACGACATGATCATGATTGAACATCTCAACACCTACAAAGGTATTGTGAATCAGCTGAAAAAGGCTGAGATGAAAATTGATGATGAGATACAGGCTTTGCTGCTGTTGAGCTCGCTGCCAGAAAGCTGGGATACTCTGGTGGTGACCTTGAGTAATTTGATTCCAAATGGAAAATTGAAGATGGATGTCGTGACAGACAGCCTCCTGAACGAAGAAGCCAGGAGAAGAGAACGAGGTGTTTCGAGCACATCTGAGGCCAACGTTGCAGAGAACAAAGGAAAATCTGACTCCTGGGGTAGAAGTAAGAGCCGGGGTCGAGGTCATAACAGACGAGAAAATTCCAGAGGTCGGTCAAAGCTGAAATATGATTTGAAGTGCTTCTACTGTGGAAAGACAGGTCATAAGAAGCCAGACTGCTCGACTTTGCAGAATGACGAGAAGAACGACTCTGTGAAGCCGGAGCAGATTATTCCCAGGAAGAGGAAAGACAAGAGCACCACTGCGGTGGCTGCCAACTCGGATGTCGAGATATTCCTCCTTGGTGAGGATAATTATTTGAATGTTGCATATGATGACTGCACCTGGATTGTTGACTCTGGTGCCTCCTTCCACGTTACTCCACACAAAGGTTTTTTCTCCTCTTACCGAGGTGGTGATTTTGGAGTTGTGAAGATGGGAAATCAAGTGACCAGCAAGATTGTTGGTGTCGGTGATGTAACTCTCACCACAGATGTCGGATGCCGACTTGTGTTGAAAGATGTGAGGCATGTACCTGACATGCGTTTAAACCTAATCTCGGTAGGCAATCTTGATGATGTCGGGTTAGTGAACTACTTCGGTAGTGTGAGATGGAAGCTGGCCAAGGAAAACTTGGTCATGCCCCGAGGTAAGAAGGAAGGCTCCTTGTACGTGATGCAATGAAAGATCAATGGCGGAGAAGCAAATTGTGTCCGAGAT